CCCCTTACCCCATCCCCCACCCACCCAGGAACCCCCAATCCCCTCACCCCTCCTCCTTCTTCTCTGTGGATGTAACCTCTATCTACACCTCCCCACTCCCACCTCCCCACCCTCAAAATTCCCACCCCCTGGGGCATCCAGCCTTCATGAGGTCAAGGTTCTCTTCTTCCACCTATGCCCAGCAGGGCCCTCCACTCTTACATATTCAACTGAAGCGCTGGATCCCTCCCTAAGTGCTCCCAGGCTGGTGGTTTAGACCCTGGGAGCTGTGGTTGGTTGGTATTGTTGCTCTCCTCATGGTGCCGCAAATCCTTTCAGCTCTCCTTCAGTCTTCACTCTAACTCCTCTATTGAGAACCCCATGATCAGTTCAATGGCTAGTTGTGGGCATCTGCCTCTGAGTATGTCAGACTCTTGAAGACCTCTGAGGAGACATCCATATCAGGCTCTTATCAGCATGCACTTCCTGACTTCCACATCAGCCTCTACCTTTGGTGATTGCACATGGGATACTCAGGTGGAGTGGTCTTGAAACGGCCCCTCCTTCAGTTTCTGTCCCTCACTTTGTCTCCATATTTGCTCCCTTGAGTAATTTGTTGCTCCTTCTAAGAAGGACCGAATCACCCCCACTTGGTCTTCCTTCTTTATGGGCTTCATGTGGCCTGTGAGTTGCATCTTGGGCATTTCAAGGTTCTGGGCTAATATCCAATAATCAGTGAGTGAATACCATGTGGCAACAAGTACTTTTAAACACTGAGTCATCTCTCCAGTGCCTTTCTTAGGATTTTGCATTTAGATTCATAAGTAACTTTTATTTTGTATTTATACAAAAATACACATGCATATGTTTCTTGTAATGGTCTTTTAAGGTTTGGGTATTTATGGGATTTGAATTGTGGAATTTTTAGTTTTGTTTCCTTCCAAAGGAGTTTATGTAAGACTTGTAATTTTAGCTTTACATGGTTAGAATTTGCCAAGCAAAGTGACCTGGGCTTAATTATAGGGTCAGCTTTGCTAAGTGGTATGGAACTGTTTTTCCTTTTTCTTACGCAGTTTATTAACTCATAGCTCTAGGAATGTATCTATTTCCTAAAATTTCAAATAGTCAACAAGTTTATAAAATGGTGAGTGTAATGCCTGTTGGATCTATAAAGCTGCCCCGCCCCCTTTCCTCTGGACATGGAAGAGTTGTCTTCTCCCCTAATTTGTCAGAATTGAATTTATCTTGCAAAAAGACAAGCTTATCTTTGATGATCTCTCATTTTTTTTCTTCTCAAAATCTTTTTTTTTTTTTTTTGGTTTTTTTTTTGAGACAGGGTTTCTCTGTGTAGTCCTGGCTGTCCTGGAACTCACTCTGTAGAGCAGGCTAGCCTCGAACTCTCGAACTCAGAAATCCGCCTGCCTCTGCCTCCCAAGTGCTGGGATTAAAGGCGTGTGCCACCACCGCCCGGCCCTTTAGTTCCGACTTAAATGAAACAGATATTTAGTCTTTTCACACTTTTTTTCTTTTTAAAGATTTGTTTATTTAATGTATGTGAGCACACTATCTTCAGACACACCAGAAGAGGGCATTGGATCCCATTACAGATGGTTGTGAGCCACCATGTGGTTGCTGGGAATTGAACTCAGGACCTCTGGAAGAGCAGTCAATGCTCTTATTAACAGCTGAGCCATCTCTCCAGCCCCTCACACGTTCTTAAGATCATGAATTTCTAGCTAGGTGTTGTGGTGCATATCTACAATCCTACTAGTTTTGGAGGATGTTACAAAAAAGATCTCAAGTTGGAGGTCAACCTGGACATACCAAGATCTTATCTCAAGTAACAAAAAGATTATAATATTTTCAAAACTTGCTGGGCAGTGGTAGCACACACTTCTGAGTTTGAGGCCAGCTTGGTTTAAAGAAGGAGTCCCAGGACAGCCAGGCCTACATGGTGGAATGATCTTGAAAAACAAAAGACCCACAGAACGTATAGTGACCTGAAGAGGTAGTGGAGCTGAAAAAGTCAGTTGAGTCTAGCAGAGAATTGAAGTTTTTGTTCACTTGGCTTAAGCATCAGTGATACAGTAAATGAGACTGAAGGGTAGTGATCAAAGGTTTAAACTGTGTGTTTATTTTAGCGCTGCTGGGACATCGCCCTGGGGCCCCTCAAACAGATTCCAATGAACCTCTTCATCATGTACATGGCAGGCAATACCATTTCCATCTTCCCTACTATGATGGTGTGTATGATGGCCTGGCGACCCATTCAAGCACTTATGGCCATTTCAGCCAGTAAGTATTCATAAAATAATAATCCTTCCCTGGGTGCTAAGGATTGAAGGCAAATTCTTTGGTATATTTTTGGCTAGAGGGTATCTTGGTGGTGGTAGTCAGGGTACCATTTATAATCTTATTTTGGGTCTCTTAGTATAAATTCAAGGTTTCATATGGGAAGAAAAACGGTGTTGACAATGTTTGTTAATCCCAACAGCTTTCAAGATGCTGGAGAGTTCAAGTCAGAAGTTTCTTCAAGGTTTGGTCTATCTCATTGGGAACCTGATGGGTTTGGCATTGGCTGTTTACAAGTGCCAGTCCATGGGACTGTTGCCTACACATGCATCAGATTGGCTAGCCTTTATTGAGCCCCCTGAGGTATGGTTAAAATTAAATTTCAGGCAAATAGAATGTACAGTGAATAGCTAAGCTAGTTAGTTCATTTGATGGTAGAGAATTAGAGGTGATATTGAAGGTTCATTTCTTTTTTAAAAGCATTTACATTTTTTAGTGTGTGTGTGTGTGTGTGTGTGTTGTTTTGGAGGTCAGAGAACTTTCTCCTGCAAGTTAGCTGGCAGAAAAGAAACTATAGCACAACTTCTGACTGAAAATCTGGGTTTGGGGGAACTGAACTCAGGTCATCAAGCTTGGCAGCAAGTGCCCTTACCCACTGAGCACTCTCACTGGCTCAAGTGTTCATTTCTTAAGTTTACATGAGTTTGGAAGTTACAAGGTCATGTATGGCAGAGCTTGTGATTAAGTCACTGACTAAGAAGTTGTTTGCCATTCACCTCTTTATTGTTTTCTTTTTTTTAGAGAATGGAGTTCAGTGGTGGAGGATTACTTCTGTGAACCCAAGAAAGCACCATATATATGGACCTCGTTTGCATTTTTAAGCTGTTGACTCCTAAATATCCTCACTTAAAATAATCATGCATGTTGAAAAGAGCAAAAAAGCTTGCATTTTTTCCATGGTGAGGAGAGAGATTCTACAAGGACAGTGTGCAGCATGTTATAGCAGAAAAGAAACTATAGCACAACTTATGACTGAAAATAATGTAGAAAACTTTATTTATGTTCCCAGCACAGAGCAAGACAAACAAAACCAGACTCTATGTAAACAAAAGAATAGCAGCTGCTGAGTAGCAGCATCTCCTTTCAATAAATTAAATGGTTGAGAACAATGCTTTAATGTTTCACAAGTTCCCCTTAAGTCTATCTTAATATTTCACTTCTATATCACATAAGCAGACTTTTTTTGGAAGATGTGAGAAACTACCACTGGATTCAAATTATACATGATGAAAAGTAAGCCAGAAAACAGAGCATGTAAATATGCGTACAGTGTAACTTAATATCCACAATCAGGAATTGTTTTTAACATTTAGGGGGAATGAGGATTGGTGGGATCCTTGGGGCCACTAGAAAAGGAGGCAACAGAAGATGAAAAGCAGCGACTTTCCTCTGCCGTGAGGAAGCTGGCACCTGTCACGCAGGCCCTGTAATTCAAACTCCAGCTTTTAAGGTAGCTATGAAAGGCAGAGGGCCAATTGGGGGACAACGAATGTTACAGCCTGCCCTGCTAAACTCATAGGTAAGACACAAAAGCTGGGTCTTATAAGAAGGCAGGAGAGGGTCTTCCTCTTTCCTCTAGAAACATTTGGCCCCTTCCCCTAAGGTGCATTTTCTCTCTCAAGTTTTCAGTATTGCTTTATTTGCAGTGATTAAAAGAGATAAGACACTTTGCAGACAGACAACATAAGCAACACATAGACATGAAATGTTCTAGACAGAGATGAGTATAAATTTGGCCTAATAACCATTTTTTCCATGTAACAGTGATTTTTGTCTTGGAGACTGAAGTAATAGCTATATTAATAGCCACTATTTTCTTACCCTTTAACAGATTCTTACATAGCTCTAATCACAAACAGCCTTTCTAAAAGTAACCTTATTCTCTTGCCATGTTTGTTTGATGTGAAAAAAGTATGTATCACTTTGGTCAAGGGTAGGTGTTAGGCAGTTCCTGGGCAGGCTGGCTTTTACAGAATGGGCAGCTCCAATGCTTTGGAACCTAGGGGGTTATACTCAAGTATGCAATGGAGTGCTGGAAAGAGAACTATGAACAGTTTCTACTCTCTGCAGGAGGCAAAGGAAAAAATTCTGGATCCTTTGCTACCTCAAGTGGGCCTGGGAAGAAGAAGAACAAACCATGACTCAGCTTCTTAAGCCGTATTGTTGAGTTTCCTTCTGTCTTGGGTTGAATTCTGGGTGTTTCCTTGTATGGAGAGTGGCACAATTTACCACCAATGAAAGAAAATTTAAAAGCAGCCATGAATGTAAGCAAGAAGACAGTTCCTTATCTTGTAAATTATCTTGTAAAGGATATGGAAGTTTCACATACTTGAAAATACTGCTCAGCCAAAAAGGCTGTCTATGCTGGTAAGCCAAGTGTTTGTGATCAGTAAATTAGGAAAGAAAAAAAAAAAAAGAATCTGAGCTTACATAAGTAATTCCTTGGCACATTTAGAGCTTTTTAAAAACAAAACCAACACAGCAGATCATTGGCTCACTGAACTACTTATTTCAGAGCCAAGTTTCTGGAGTCAGAATGAATAATAATATTGAAATGGGAAAAGCTCAGCTCTGGGCATGGAGGTTGAGTGCCTCAAATCTGCACTATGGCTTTGGTGAAGAGGCCACAGATTAATTTCTTGTGAAAGAAAAGGTGCTTGTGTCAGGTCGATGCAAACCTGTCTGCCAATGTAGGCAGATGATTTTGGCACAGTGGAAAGGGTATGGCTTTCACACCCCCAGTTCCACTGCTGAACCCCTCTGAACCCTGGGGCCTTGGACTTGTCATCACATAGCCCTAGTGTCTCTTCCTTACAGGTTTTGCTTGTTTGTTTTTTAGACCAATGCCTACTAAAAGTAGAAGAGATCCTTCTGGTTAACTACGTAACAGCCCACATTTCTTAGATAATAGCTTGTGTGCTTTGTGTTGCATAGCTAACCACTGTGTTTCTATACATTTTAATAGGCACTCTTTGGAATCCCCTTAGTTCAGCAATTTGAAAACCTGAAAAAAACATTTTTACCTTTCAAAAACAAAATTTCTACAGTAACACCACTGTCTGCATTATAACCACAGAATGGGTTTTAAAACAAAGTTAAAATATACAGTACAGATAAGAAGACATGGGGGAATCTAAGTTTTGAGGAAGAAGTAGAGGCTGCAGCTATGTTTCAGGTTTTGTGTATCAGTATCCTCTGTTTCTATCCTGGCTTGCTGCAGGCTGTCTCTATAACGGTAACTCATTTTTCACTAAGGTGAGGCTTAACTGCCTGTTAACTTTCTGGTGCTCACTGACCTGTGTCTTCTGAGACTCGTCCTGAAAGTTAGATATGAACTTGCTTTCTGTTAGTTAAATTTCTAGCATATGTTTTACTAACTCATTACCTTCTGTGTGCCAAAAGGTTCCCTTTGGCTTAGCTGGTTAATTTTGACTTGCCTTCTCCTGCCATTGAAATAGCTTTTAGGACTTGACCATTCTGCTGTTGAGGGAGTATTTGCTTCTGCTGTGATGGCAGATCATGCTGCAGCCAAGAGCATAGTTGGGACTCAGCTCTGCAAGAACAGAGTGGGAGTGGTAGGAAAGGGCTCTCATCTCCACGGACGACGAGTCTTAGGGAAGGTGGACCACGCAGAATCTCACACAGCTGATTATGAGTAAATGGTGATGACTTCACTGCCACCACCACGGACAAGGAGGACTCGCTCTAATCCCTCAGTGAGTACTTCTAGAAATTCCATGTCTTCAGAAGTTGTCAAGGAAATAGGATGATCAATAGTGCATTTTATGACCTGGCATCAGTAATCTATGCTTATTTGATCATAGACCTGCAAACTTAGCATGCTTTTCTTAATTATATATTCCAAATAGGAAATGTCTAAACTTGACTCAACATCCACCTATATCCACCCACTCATTCAGCAGTGTTATGGATTAAATTTAGGGCCTGGTACTTGCTAGGCAAACATCCTACTATGTGGAGCTGCTTTACCTGCTCTGACTAACTTTTTAAAATTCTGAGACAGGGTCTCACTAAATTTCCCAGGCTGACTAGCCATGGCACCCATATAGACATTTGTAAATTTTCTTGAGATTATAGGCTTGTACCACCAAGCCTGGAATTAAATTCAGTTTTAAACTTAGGAAATAACACTGGAATCTAGACCCTTTGTGTATTTAATACAAGACATTCTCATCTGTTCCCATTCTCCACTACTTGGATCTGAACCAGGAGTCTTATGCATGTTAGGCCAACTTTCTAGCATTGAGCAGCATGAGCCACAACATGCCGGCTGGGCACTCATACCTGGGTCCTTTGCAAGAGTCCCAGCCTGTATTTATTTTCTAAATGTGATTAAAAACTGAGTTAACAGTGAGATGGCTCCACTGTTGAAAGCATCTGTACAAGCCTGACAACCTGAGTTCAGTTCCTTGGAATAAGTAGAGAGTGTGCTTGCACACTCACACACACTCACACACTATTGTGTAACACTAGCTGGCCTGAAACTCACTATGTAGACTAAACTGGCCCTGAAGTCAGTGATCTGCTTGCCTCTGCCTCCCCAATGCTGAGATTAAGAGTGTGAGTCACCATGCCTGGTATAAATAAAAAGTTTTAAGTGCCTGGAGAGATGTCTCAGTAGTTAAGAACACTTGATGCTCTTGCAAAAGACCCAGGTATGAGTGCCCAGCCTGCATGTTGTGGCTCATGACCATCTGTAACTCAGTTCTAGAAAATTCAACAAACTCTTCAGACCTCCATGGGCACTACTCACACATGCACACAAGTTTGACTGATTCAAAGGTTTCCCTCTGACCTCCACATACAGAGGTTTTCATAGACCTCTATAAATATGTATGCACACACAATTCAAAAACAAAAAAAGAGAATTCACAAGTAATATGTTATCCTTTTGACAAAAATGCCAAAAATAAGAAAAAGGTTTTTAAAAATCAGCTAAAAAGATCTGTAGAGAGACCTCACATACTTTCTAAGTGAAGCTACACGAGTCAGATTTTCATACCAGTTTCTTCATTAATAAAACAGATGACCCGTTTTCTTCAATGGTGTTGCTTAGAATGGGCCAGTCTGTGTCACTACAGGGATGGAGGGTTCCTGTAAAAATAATCCTGGGATGAAGAAGAAGAATCCTTTGTCTTTTTCTCACTTTGGTTAAGAAGTCTCAAGTGCTGCTTACCTAACTCCATCCAAAAGAAAGCAGCTTTGCAAAGTGAGGATCTTGAAAAGGAGAATAGATGGGTATTCTGTCTCTAGGTTTATCGCTGAAAATTATAAGTCATTGCAAATTTACCACCTTGGTATATTTGAGTTTCAGAGAGAACACAATAACCTGCCCCAGCTTCCTGATCAGTCAATCTCACAACTTTGGAAGTATCCCTACCTATGACATTAAGCGCCTCCTTCAAGAATTGCTTAGGGAATAGACTGACTTTAACCACTATCTAGCTGTCTTGAGAAGAGTATTTTCCCACTGGCAGCTTCATGCTTGGAAAGGATACAGTTTTCATCACCTTCAGGGTTTCGGGGTGGTCCTGGCATATTCATCAGAACCAGCTTTGCTTCATGGGACTTGTTAACTATAACTTCATTGAGCTTCACTGCTGTATGCATCCGTCTCACATTGGACTGGTCCCTGAGTGGAGAAGAAATCAAATAGTTAAGGCAAAAAGAAAACCAGTTTAAATACTCTTTATTTTGAGGCACAGAGCCTTTTCACTTGACTATGGATAATGTGGTTAAGTTTTTTGTTATATTAACATCTCTAGTTTTCTTATTATTTAAAGGTTGTGTGTGTATGTAGGAAGGCAGCTTTTTGGGAGTTGGTTCTCCTTCCACCAATTTACAAGAGGTGAGTCCTGGTGGTCGGTCGATTCAGCTACTAAGGCTTGGCAACAAATACCTTTACCTAACAAGTTATTACCTCACTGGCCTAGTTTTCTCATTCTGTTTGCCTATTTTATAATAATAAGACAAATAATATAGAAATGAACTATGTGGAGGAGAATAAGATGGTTAGCTTGTTCCAGTGTTTAAAATTGGGAACTAATCTTCACAAGCAGACAATAATAGCTGATTTAGGTAAGATGAAAACACCCATGCTT